ATAGCTCTAGCATCATCCATAGAGAAAGCATTCAAAACTTTTTTCGTGTCCCAATATGGGAATTCTGAAACCATAAAATCACGGCACTTGCAGGAGGAAACTAGATTATTAAAGTATGCCGTCACAAGTGAGATTGGTTTAGATCCCCCCACCTATCATAAAAGATTTTTGCCTCACTTTCAAAGCCAATTCCCTTAAAGAAACCATGAGAGCTTCTTTAGCTTTAAGGATACTCGTTCACGCATTGGATGGATTATTCCCAATCGTTGCATCCAAGAACTCCGTTCTGGGCAAGTATTTGGCTTTAAACATGAGGAAGGTAATCCATTCTAGATTGTGGATGAACCACCTTATTTGGTTTCCCAGGAGCGCGATATTGAATTTCTTGAGATCCTTAAAACCCATACCACCATCCCTTTTAGCTCTACAAGCTTTTCCCAAGCAATTAGCGCCCATCCTCTAGCTCTATTTCTACCCGACCACCAATAGTTACATATATTAATGGTGATCGCATCAAGGACCCCATCCGGGAGGAGGTAACATGTCATTGCGTACGTGGGGAGAACTTGCGCAACTGACTTGATGAAAACCTCCCGGCCACCGTAAGAAAAGAGGTTTTTTGTCCACCAATTAATTCTTTTGTTCACTTTCTCCTTCATAAAGGCAAAAGTATCAATTTTGTTTCGTCCTACAACAAGCAGGAGTCCAAAATAGTTTCCCGGTTGCACTCCTTTGTTGACCCCAAAAATATCCTTGATACGTCTTCGATCATCGGCCTTGGTGTTTGACAGAAAAAAATCATGGACCATGCTCAAGATCTCCTTCAAGCACATTGCCTCTTTGATATAGTTTTTGATAAACATGAGGCTATCTGGGAGATACTTGCTACTTTCAGGAACCCTAGGCTGTCACATTGTATAGAAACCGTAAGAGCACTTTCTTGGGGGAACCAACTTTGTCTTTTAACCTGCTTACTCTGGGGCCAATCTTCTAATTTATTGCATAGTGACACAAAGTTAAATTAAGAATATGACAACCACAAGAGTGTAAAAAGTTTTAGATTTTTATCTAACAAATTTTTTGTAGTCCTTGATGTTTTCATTCATATTTGACCCATTATCATACCTTTGTCCTCTCACGTCATCTATGTCAATACAAGATCCTTGAATTCAATTTGTAAAACACAAAAAGTTCTTGACCAATGGTATCGTTCACATTTAAAAATCCTAAAAGACTCTTCAACAATAATAAGATTCAAAAACATATTTCATTATGAGAGACATTTGTTCTTGGTGGCTCGCATCAAGAATACAATCAAGTATGTTTAAAAATACTTCACTTGTTTTATGTTTAATAATTTCATACTTAATTACAGAAAAAAAAAATAATGTAATACCCCAAAAATATAGTTTGTCACCAAAATGAATAAAATGAAAGTTTGGTGGCTAAAGTATAAACTTGGGAAAGTTTAGGAACTAAAATGGTAATTTTAAAAAAATATATATTTTGTCTCGTAAATGAATAGTTACCCTCAAGAATGACGTTTTGGTGTCATTCAAATTTTTAGTACAAAGTTTATGTTAAAATCCATAAAATGTGAAAGTTCGAGAAAAATTTGGATAATCGGGTTAAATAGAAAATTCATGAAATTTTGCTAGATGATAAAGAAAGGGTAAAAATGTGTTTTACATACTTTAAAATGATAAGATTTAATTTGGAACATAGGATTTAAGTTGATTTCCATGCTAAATCTTAGCCATTGGATTAAAAAGGACAAGATTATAATTTTGAAACTTTAAAAGAGTAAAGTTGTAAACAACTAACTTCATGGTTTAATTTCAACCCTTGGATGATAAATTTGCTATGTGGCATGTTTAAGATCATTAGATTTTAAGGTCATAATAGTCATTTTGGATTAAAATGAATTTTAAATTCATTTAGGATATAAAATCACAAAATGATTAAAGAAAATCAATTCAAGAACTTTCTTGAATACCTTGATGCTGCCTTGAGTTACAAAGAAAACCATAGTTAAGTTTGAAATTTATTTTTAAGCATTTTGAGTTCGATTTAAGATTCAGAAATGAAATCCAATTTTTTTTCTTCATTGAATTCTCTTTCATTTGGTATACTTTGTGCATGTTGTTGATGCTTATAACCCTAAATTTATGAAAAGATTGCATGAAAGGGATGATGAATTTGAGATTTCAAGGCTTAAAAAGGATGATATAGGTGTTGTGATGTTAATTTCATATTTCAAGTGTTGAAAAATCTATTAGTTTTCCTTAAAAAATCAATTTGAAGAAGTTGAAAAGTTAAAGGGGTTGATGTTTTGAATTGAATTTTATGCTAGATATGATGAGATCATTATGTTGTATGCTTTAGCATGTTTATTCAAGCTTGAAAATGAGGAAGAATGGTTGAATCCTATTAGTGACCAAAATGACACTTTAGGAAAAGTTTGAGAATTATATTCAAAGCTTTAATTGATGAAGACTATGGTAGAAAATTTCAATACATATTTAAATGTGTGGTTTGGAACTTGAAAACACCTTGGAAGGTGATGGATTATATTCGGGCATAAGGGTTTCTTAAGGAAAAATTTGTAGGAAAAATTCAAGTAACTTAGTTATGATATTTGTTATCTCTCAAGGATTAATTTGTTGATTAAATAATTAGATTTAGACTTGAAATGTGAAATTTTTATGATTAGTCCTAAAAGAGAAATAAAGGCTTAAGATGAAATTGTGATTTTAAAGATGAATTCAAGTAAGTTAAGGTGGAAATGAAGTGTAGGAAACATTGTAATTACAATGTTATATTGGAATAAATGGAATTATATGTGCAAGTGTTAGATGGATTCTAACATGTGCTTTTGATTATTTGTGTTATATGTTTGATGTATTTATAAACATCAATCAAAATTGGGATCAAACTACCAACAAAGGAAAAGAAAAAGATCGAGCTTAAAGCTTAGTGAGGCTTATATTTTGACTTAAATAAAAAGTATCAAGGTGAGTGTAATGCATACATAACATAATACACAAATATTTTACCCATCATTAGGAAGACTTGTGATGAGTCTACCTTGTTTATATTAACATGATATTTATGTCATTAATCATATGTTTGACATGTTCTAAATATGTCAAAAGTTAATATAAAATGCATTGATACTAATTTATTTATGATGTTATATCATGAATGTTATTTTGGGTATGAAGTGCCCAATGTTGAATTATGTTGACATGCAATGCCATGAATGAAATAAATATAGACTATGCCCAAGTAGGTCATTGAGGGACAATGTTACAGTTGGTATGTCATAGTCCAACAACATGCTACATATTTGATTTAGCACTATAGCGTATATAAAGGACACTTAGTGCATACGGTGGATATGACCTTATGTGTATTATGGTGGGCACGACCTTATGTGTATAGCACTTCGGTGCATATTTGACTCGTGTTTATAGGATTCTCATAGACTTATATTTGGGCTATGGTTTATTGGCTAATAATTGATAAACATGTAAATAAGCATACGAACTTTCGAAATAAATGACAAGTATATTGCTAAGAAATTTTGTATGTGGTTTATATTATGTTAATATATGATAACATGACTGAAATACATGTAAGTGATTATAATGCATTGAGTATTTCTATTTATTGACATTTATGTGTTGAATTGCATTGATTATTACTATGATTGCCTCACTAAGTGTATACTTAGTGAGTGATGACTTTCATGCGCATATAAAAAGCATAAATTAGAGTAAGGAGTATTCGACATCATACTTATTGAGGAGTATTTCTTTAATATCAGTAATGGTATCTTTCTAATGTATTTTTTATTTATAGTTGACGTGTATATAGATGTTAATATTATGGTATAAACTATGCTTAAAACAGGTTTCTAGTAATTTACTTGATAGTAGTTTTCAAATGCAAATGAGTCAAAAGTTTTATTGATGTTATATTTTGCGAGCTAGAATGATTTTGTACCGTGATTTAATGTTCATCTGTATTTCTAAAACTTGTTAATTAATCAGATAAATTGTTCTAATTAAGTAGTAAAGTTATCAGTAGTAAAATACAATTGCAAACGTAATCATATTATAATATACATTTCAAAAAAAAAACTGAAAACAATTTGGATACACATTGCACTAATCAGAAAACTAAGAGATTAATATTTAATTTGAAAATAAATTTAGTACACAATTATATAAGTAATTATCAGTATATTTATGAAATTAACCTTAAAATAATGAAAAAATAGAATTAAATTTATACATAAATTAAATAATTTTATTTTTGGGATTAAATTGAATAAAATATAAAATTAAATTTAAAAATATATTAAATATAATTAATTTCTTTCTTAGTTTAGCCTAAATAGTTTTTTCATAGTATAATAACTTCAAGATTTTTTCTAATGGTTAGGTGTTGGATTATTCTGCTTAATGTTTTAGTTTAACCTCTGCTGAGGCAAATTACAGCAAAACAAACACATCGTTTATTTGAATCAAATATAGATTAACCTCTGGTGAGGCAAATTATACCCAAAAAAAAAACAAGGAGCAGATTTCAAAACATATTTTGGGAACCACCTGTTGTTTGTTTGTTTGTGTTTATATCTTACTTTTATCAAAGTAAGAATTTGGAGAAGCAATTGCGAGGAACTCTGGATCACGTTCAAGAAAATTTATCTCTTTCTCGGGTAATGTAACCCATACTTCAATGGCGTTCTGCTGCCTAGCGTTTTTAATAAAGAAACATCTGCAGTACTCTCGATTATGGCTATCAATCCCTGGAATGCCAAGCAGAGTCCCCTTTCCCCATCCAAAATCTTCACTTGCATCCAAAGTATTTATCAAGCTGCTTAAAATAAATAAATCCGCATTCCCTTTAGACACCATTTCTGCAAGATGGCTGAGTTGCTCTGTCATGGTTTTAAATCCTTGCAGAACAATCTGGGGATCATTAGGGACACTTTATGTTGCTTGTCTCAGTAGATAACCCAACTCAGATAAGTTTATATCTTTTCCAACTGACTTATACATGCTAATTGCACTTGAAATCAGGTTCCCAATTGAATAACTCGGTAAGTCGACGGGCTTCAATCTTGGTCGAAGGTTAACTGGTTGGCATAAAATAGCTGGCTTTAGAGTTCCTGAAGCTGATCGAGATGCTTGGATGGCATGTTTCCATATGAATGCAGTGAGAGCTAATGATCGGGAAGGATGCTCCAAGCTTTTGCTTTTCAATTTCAACTTAAGAGTCGAAATCGCATTGGCATCAAACACGTAAGTCCTTGTCATCTGACGCCTGTCGTAATTGAAGAACATGCTTTCAACGTCGGCACTTTCCGGTATCGACTCAATCGGAGGGAAAAAATGTGACGATGCCCCTAACAGTCCAGGATTTGGTATTTCTCCATTCGAGCCACGACTGAAAGCTGCCCAACTGTTTAGGAAAGCAGACACGGTTACTGCATCGAAGATCTTGTGGAAAACACACAAATCTATTGCAATCCCACCGCAATCGAAGATGTTGACTTGAACAGTTGTGGTGCTGTTGTTGAGTCTTGAATATTGGAAAAGGGTCGACAAGGAAGCAATCGGTTCATTGCCTCTAGTTTCTGAGTTGGCTCAATGAAATCAGATAGTCGACCTTTCACCTTGGTTTCAACATAAGGAACTCCCTCGTCGAAATCAGTAATAAAAAGGTTGTTCTTCACCCGACAAGCAACAGGGTAAAACTGAGTCAAAGCTTTCGAGAGCGATTGTTTTAGTTTCTCTGAGAATTGGGAACCGTCGATATTGGAATCACCAGGTTTAGCATAAAAGAGGATTACCGGAGTATACATTCTGGGGGAGAGTTGGTCAAAAAGGGAAAGGTTGAATGGTTTAAAGAGATGAAGTTTTGAAGAGGAGGGCTTAACCATATGCTTCGAAGTAATATGAACTTCCATTTCTGCAACAATTGAAATGAAACAGTATAAAGTGAAAGCTTAAACGTGTGATGCAAAACTGGCTTTCTTCTGTTCTATTGAAGTTCAGGTTCAATGGATTTTATACTACTTTTTCTACTTTTTAAAATTAGTTGGGGCTAGTTTTGCCCCATATAAAAATACTAAATCTGTCCCTAACCATGGAGGACAGAGGAGATTAGTGAGGAATAGTTTGGTGAAGTTATTAATAAATGTAATATAATATGTTCATCAGTATGCAAAATTATTGTTCCGAATTGTCTTTTTATCATATTCGTATCTTAAAAAAATATTATCCTCTCTAACTATATATATACACACACAAGAGCAGATCCCGTTACAGTGTAAAATTCTTTTAGTTTTACATAGTTTTAGTACCGTTGGATGAGGGAAAATAAATAGTTGAGATTGACTCATTTTTTTCTTCCAGTTTTTTTTTTTACCCTTCCGGTTCTCAAGGCTTTGCCTTGACTAATCCGAACCGACCCGGGTAACACACTTCACTCTGGTAGGTGAGTCTTTCTGCGGGGATTTTCTACATATGCATGGACTCAAACTCAAGACCTCCTTAAGCGATATCATGTTGTTTTACCACTCGAACCAAATCTGTAGATGTTCATAATTTTTTAAAGTATTAATAATGTTTACGCTCTGCAAATACAATTATTCAAACTGAAAATGTCAAAGAGAACAACATTTTCTTTACCCACTAAGTTAATATGATGATACTAACAAAATTAACTTATAATGAGTGATGTCATACGACACACAAATATTTTTTGAAAAAATATTCTTTATAAATTTAATATAAAAATATTTCTAAAAAATAAAATTAACATATTTATGAAAGAATATTGACATCCATAAACATATATTTACATCCGTTATTAATTTTTATCCACTCAAAAAATTCTATATAAAATTTTTAAATTTCACAAATAATTTTTCTAACTTTATACCTTCTTGATTGGTTGTATTTATATGCTTCTTGAAACTTTTCATTTATGATTTAATTTATCTTGATAACGGCATAATCAAATTAACTTAATAGTTAAAGGGATTATTATTATTCTTAAAGGTCTCAGATTTGAACACCAATATTAACAGAGTTGTTTAAACGTTAATTAAATATTACCTTATAATCATCTTTAATAAAAAAAATCTATCTTTACAATGATTTATGAAAGCAACTTGCTCGCACGAAAAATATTTATTTAACTGGTATGGTGTGCTTGAGATTGAAGGATGATGAATATTTAAATGTTTATTTTTTTATGGATAGTATTTTTTTCTATTTTATTAGTAGATCTCTGACATTTTTAGCTCCTAACGTCAGGGTTTTGATAGATGTAATATAATATGTTCGTTAGTATACAATTATTGTCAATCTGTCTTTCCATTATATTCCTATCTTAAAAAAATTGTCCTCTCTAATAAACTACTTCTGGGGACTTATTAATATAGGTAAAATTATGTGTTTAGTACCTAAATTATCAATTTTGATAAATTTCAGTATTTTAATTTTTAATTATTTTCAAAATCATACTTAACATTTTGTTTTTATTTCTTTTAATACCTCACCATTAAAAACTTAACGTGTTTAGTACCTTTTAGTTTTTAAAGAGTTATGGAATTCATTCATTCAAATGACAATAACATCAAGTAGTATATCATTCTTAATACATTCGGGTTCATAAAAAAACCATAATTGATTGGTCATCGACAAAGCCCTATGTACTGACGTATGAGCCACCTTCTTGAAATTTGGATGTGCATCCAGTTCTTGATCACCGACCACCGAGATGTCTTCACTATGATTGTTCAAACGATTGACTATTCCGATTGCATCTCCTTCGATTATGACTTGATCCCCGTCGTTCTCCTTTGCAAATCTAACAACTTGGATGAAGGCTAACGCTTATGCTGATTCGGCCGTTTGAGGAGCGTCCAGTTTACGTGCATGGCCTCCAAGAATCATTCTGTGGTGATCCCGAGCAACAAGTCCCAGAGCTGCCTCTCTTGAGCTGTCGATGAATGATCCATCTACGTTAATCTTAACCCTTCCAACAGGTGGATGATTCCACAAAGCTTTGACAGAGGGTCGTTGGTTCGAACTGCAATGGTTTGAAGACTTTGTTACTACTTTGAAGCTTGCTACCAGCTCCCAAGTTTTGCTCACAACATCACAATCAGCTTGGAGATCTCCATCGTGGACCCATTGATTTCTCCTGTTCCAAGGGTTCCAAAGCAGAAGAACCATCCGAGCAAGATCCTCAGTGTCCAATAAATTACTTGCGTGTTCGAGCCATTCTTTGCTGGAGTCCATTTGCAAGTTAACAATCGAAGGGTTCAGACCAGAAAGGATGAGGACTGACCGTGATTTTGGGCAGTTTTTGAATGCATGGATAGTTGTTTCTTCTTACAGTTGGCACATGGGGTAGGTAGCAGTTCCAATGGAAGCAGTAGCGAGCTTTGTTTCCTTTGGCAGTGCATCATAGCATGTTCTCCACCTGAAAATCTTCACTTTAGGTAAGATGGAGAGCTTGGCAAGCGTTCTCCAGCTTTTTTTTTTATCAATCCCTAATTGTGCCTGCTTTCATAAATAGGCAGCTGTACCCGGATTTTGCCGAGTAACAACCGGTGTTGTGGTGCTCCCAAATGATAGTGTCTTTTTTGGTTGGAGAAATGATGGTTCCAAGGATAGCTCTAGCATCATCCGTAGAGAAAGCATTCAAAAATTTTGCCGTGTCCCAACGTGGGAATCCTGAAATCATAAAATCACGGCACTTGCAGGGGAAACCGGATTATCAAAGTAAGCTATCACAAGTTGCAAAGAAATGTGTAAAAGATAGTGAAAAGTATTCTTTACTCTTATTTTTCAACAATACAATAACATGCTTATATAGGTATACTGTAACTACCTATAAGCCTAGCTGGCAAGCCCAACAAATTTAATAACAGTTTAAACAATTTCACAACTGCATAACAACTCCACAACAGTAGCATAGCATATTGCGTTAACCACCTATATCTCTAATATTCTCCCAACTTTTTCCTTCTTCATGGTCAATCGAAAACACTTGCACTTTGGATCGAAACTGCTTAAATGGCGTTTTGGATAACGGTTTAGTAAACCTATCTACAACTTGGTGACTAGCTAGGACATAGTTAACGAGCACCTGCTTAGTAGCCACCTTTTCTCTCACAAATTGCACGTCAATATCTACGTGCGTAGCCTTTGCATGATATATCGGATTGCTACTCATGGCCACAACACCACTGTTATCACACCAAATAACTGGCACCCTTTGCCATGCAATCCCCATACTCAAAGAAGTGCATCGACCCAAGTCACCTCTACTGTTGCATCAGCGACACTGATATACTCAGCCTCTATGGTGGATCTTGAAACCGTCTTCTGTTTCTTAGAAGCCCATGAAATAAGGTTATCTCCCACAAATACACAATATCCAGAAATTGACTTTCTATCATCAGGGTTACCAGCCCAATCTGCATCAGCAAACGCCATCACCTTCACATTCACACCAAAGGGAGATAACACCAAGCCATAATCTAGTGTGCCTACAAGATAGTTGAAGTATTCGTTTAACAACAAGAACATGACCCTGACGTGGTGCATCCATTAACTAGGCTACTTTATTCACACTGAAGGTGATATCCAATCGAGTATGGCATGCATACAACAATGCTCCAATAATGCTACGATACTCCCTAGTATCACATAGAACTTCACCAGCATCAGATTGTAACTTGCTCAGAATCATAGGCATCACCACAGGGCTGGCTTTATCATATATGCTTTCATCAGCAGTTCAAGAATGAACTTACGTTGACTCATAACTAGAGATCCTCCATATCTCTTGACCTCAATACCAAGGAAATAGTCAAGCTCTCCAAGGTCTTTTAACGAGAATGTGTCACTCAACTGGCGAAACACATCATCAACCTCAGTACCTGAAGCACCAGTAATAATAATATCATCAATATATACTAACATATATTTATAAACACCTTCTTTATCGTGAATAAATAATGATGTATCACCCCTAGATTCTGTAAACTCTAGCTGAAGCAAACATTGTTTCAACCTAGCATGCCAATTCCGAGGTGCTTGACGAAGTGATCGCTTGTGAATGTAGATGCTAAGGCTAGCAATTCTGTGCAAGAGTATACAATCGATGCAAGTAATATAGTAGTAAGTTGAGTTCTCGACTCCTCAGGGATTGGTGGGAATTTTTTATGTTTTGCTACGTCTAGAACTAGTTGTCACGAGCTAGTCCTGAAATTCTTATCGAAACAGAAAACAATTAATATCAGAGGTTATAAACAGATGGAAAAGTATTGTCGAGCAAGAAATATTGTGAAGTATGTTGTGCATAAAAGTTGAGTCGAGGCAAGGAAAATTTAAAAGAGTAAACAAATAAAAATTGTCAAGGCAAATAGAAACATCGAGTTTAATATATTCAGGAAAAACCTCACACAATTAGACTTCTTACGGAGCACGTTGGTTTTGCTATGGCGAGAAGTTATTTCACACTAAGGATGATTTAGTGCGCTATGCTTAGGTTTCCCTAAAGGAATACTAGAGTATTCAAAGACGGTTGCTACGATAATACTACTCAGCGTGAGCTACAACCCTTGGTTTGTCAAACTGTTGCTGCGATAATACCCTTCACTTTAAACTACAGTCTTTGCCTATCCTACTCAAGTAGCCACCCCTTTTAGTCAAATGAAACCCTATCCTTATCTCTAAGGCAGATTAGAACCTCACCATCCCGGATTAGTTTCGTTGTTCACGTAGATCTACCCTAACTTGTTGATATTAGGCATTTATTCCTAGAAAAATGGCAATCTCTCGAAAGCTCTTACAAAGTCTAAGAATGTTTTGCCGAGGCACCAAGCAATCTCTCAAAAGCTCTTACAATGTCAAGGAAAAATATTAAAACAATGAACAAAACAAC